GCAAATTATTGTAAACAGGAATCGGAAGCCTCAAAGACACTCAGGTTTAGATATTTAAATATTCAATATTATTTCCTGAATTCCAGTGTTGGAGCATCAAAAATTTTAAGCAACTTCAAAACTTAGAAAAAAGATGCAGGACTTGAGTCTTTTAAAACCATTTAAACCCTTTTTTTATATAATAAACTGAAACATTTTCTGTTAGAAAAAAATTTCTAAACATTTTTGGAGCTTCAACACTACAAATTCCAGATAAAATAAAAAAAAAAAAAAAAACTTAACATTCCTGATAGCGGTGTATAAATATTGTAAACAACGACAACAAATATATTTTATACTAACAAAACACATTGCTATTCTAACTTTGCTGTAATACGCAATATTGCTTAAGATATATTTTATATAAACTAAGCACAGAAACAATGCTAAAGTTAAACACTTAAAAATATAGTTTATAGTATATTATATTGTTATAATAGAGTATATTATATTGCTATAGTATTATATATATTATATATATTATATATTATAGTATACTATATTATACTAATATTTAGATTATACTTTTTTTTTATTTTCCATACTACTTTTTTTTTTTTTTTTTTTGGAAAATAAAAAAACATAAAGAATATAAAAAAAAATTATTGCTGTCTAAACCCTCATACTTATATAATAACAAGTAGGTAAGATTGGTATTCAAAGCTTTTTCAGATTTTTATATAACTTAAAAACCAGTTTTTAACTCCTTGCATGTTCTCTCTATTTAGTCAGACAACCCCGGCAGCCTTCTTTTTCAGTATGACAGCAACATTGAGGAACTTCCTATCCGAAAAGACAATGACATAAATTCAAATTTGGGTTGGACATGTGCTGGTTTAAATGAACAAAAGAATTTCTCTAACTTTCCAGTAGATTGTCAAAAATTTCAAAGATTATTTAATGGAAGAATGCGAAATTTTTAAGCATGCACATGTAATTGACTCGAACATTGACTACCCAACAAATCTGTCTATTCCAGAATTTTCTCTGCACCGTATGATTAGAGCAAGTATCTAAGATGAACTATGTTTTGTTTCAGTGAAAACAGATATCTTTTTTTCATATAACAAAAGATAAGTTTAAATTTAAATCAAGTTGGTATCTGAAAAAGTTAAAGTTTAATAAAAAAAAATTTATTAAAAAAGTAGCATTAAAAAATAAAATAAAAAGAAATACATATATATATATATATATATATATATATATATATATATATATATATATATATATATATATATATATATATATATATATATATATATATATACATATATTTATGTATGTATTTATGTGTATGTATGTATGTATGTATGTATGTATGTATGCATGTATGTATGTATCTATGTATGTATCTATGTATGTATCTATGTATGTATATATGTATTTATATACATAAATACATACATAAATAAATACATACATATATACATACATACATACATACATACATACATACATACATACATACATACATACATACATACATACATACAAACATACATACATACATACATACATACATACATACATACATACATACATACATACATACATACATACATACATACATACATACATACATACATATATACATACATATATACATACGTGTACAAAAAGTATGCAAAAAAAATAATTGTACACTTAAAAAAAATCATAATTTTAAAGATTGCATTAAAAAAATAAGTTATCTGTTATAATATTTAAAAGTTTTTTTAAGATATCTTATCAAGTATTGTTTTAAGAATTTATTTGTGTATTAGAGAATTAACTGCTTTTTAAACATTTTAAATTTTATACAATTGATCTAATGATGCGTAATTGACTACAAAAAAAAATCATAAAGTTCATAAATAATGTCAAATTGATCAAATTCCATGGAAATTCGTATCAAGTGGAGCTTTTTTTAGCCTTGATGGCCTCAACTAGACAATTTGGCATTGAATTGACCAAATTTTGTGTCTCTTCTTTTGTTATATTATCTCGGGCGATCATTATACCTTTTTTAAAATTGTTTTTGCGTCTAAATGATCATTTGCCAATTTTTCTGATCAAAATATACCACAAATATACTATTAGATTCAAGACCAGACTTTGAGAGGCTATTCTAAAACATTGATGTTATATATGTCAAAGTATACCTTTGTTTTCTTAATGGTAAGTTTTGGATTGTTATCCTGCTGAAGTATGAAATCGCTTACCATTCTCAATTTTTAGATATATGATTGCAAGCTGGCTTTGAGAATTTCACAATACATTGAAGCATACATTTTCTCATCAAATGTAAATTTTCCCACTCCTTTTTAACTCATACTGCCCTAAACCATCATATTTCCTTGTCCATGCATTACACTACCTTGCAAACGACTCAATTTATAAGCTGCTCCTTTTTTTTTGCCACACTTTTTGGACTCCATACAATGAGATGAGATTGTATTTTGACTCATCTAACCCAAAATTTTTTTTAATATAATATCAGCATTTTTAAGTACTTCGATGCAAATTCCAATTAACGTTTCACTTGTTTAGAATTCGAAAAAGGTTTATTTCAAACCACTCTACCTCTATATCCTTGTTCTCTTATACAATTTTTGTTTGTTTGAGGAGCCACTGTGATTTTATGATCTTCTTAAATTTCTAAAGCTAATTTAGCAAACAAATCTATTTTTCTTCACATTAATGATGACATTAATTTATCATCATTAATATGAAGGAAAATAGACATGAATTTTCAAGAGATCGAAAAGGTAGGCAGGAGACTTGGTTAATTATAATTAATTATGACAGACATCTTGTAGTTTGTTCTTTGACGTATTGGTAACCAATAGAGTGATTTAAGCAAATTTTCTGATTGTAAATGGAAAAAAAAGTTAACTAATTTTGAAAACGTTTAAGTTTGTTGAGATTTTTTCAAGAAGTTTCAGATAGAAGACTGTTACAGTAATCATATTAAGAGTTTAAAATTCCACAGGCAATTATTTTTGCAGCACTTTTAATAAGAGATGGACAAACAAAATAATGAAGTGTATGAATATGGTAGTTGCAGGATTTTACAATATTTGTTATGTGCTGGTTCATAGAGAGAGTTGAATTGAAAGGTAATACTAAAAATTGACAAAACCTAATTTCTATTTACAGGTGCCAGAGTTGCACCTGTAAATAGAAATTAGGTTTCTAGTTCCAAATAAGACAGCTTCTGTTTTTTTTTTAAATTAGGCAGTAGCCTATTTTCAAGAAACCACGTGGTGACTGCACTTGCACATTGAGCTATATTGTTTATGTGGTCTATACCTGATCTACATATACATATAAACACTATTACTATTAAAAATTTCTATTTAATAATATTACTCAGTAAAAAAAATATATACATTATATATAATATTAATAACATTAATTATAATTTCAGTATAGATTATATAAAATATTATATACATGTATACATATATATATATATATATATATATATATATATATATATATATATATATATATATATATATATATATATATATATATATATATATATATATATACATATATATATATATATATATATATATATATATATATATATATATATATATATATATATATATATATATATGTATGTATATATATATATATATGTATATATATATATATATATATATATATATATATATATATATATATATATATATATATATATATTATAGAAATATATATATTTTATAGAAATATATATAAGTATATATATAAGTATAGAAATATATATATATATATATTATATATATATATATATATATATATATACATATTTCTATATAATATATTTCTATATAAATATATATATATATATATATATATATATATATATATATATATATATATATATATATATATATATATATATATATATATATATATATATATATATATATATACATATTTCTATATAATATATTTCTATATAAATAAATATATATATATATATATATATATATATATATATATATATATATATACATACACACACATACATACATACACACACATACATACATACACACATACATACATACATACATACATACATACATACATACATACATACATACATACATACATACATACATACATACATACATACATACATACATACATACATACATATAGTTACTATATGATATACATATATGTATATCATATACTATATGATATATAGTATATCATATAGTATATATGTATATTATATAGTATATATGTATATCATATACTGTACATGATATACATATACATATAAATAAACACTATTACTATTAGTAACTTCTATTACTAAGTAATAGAAATTACTTATTACTGAGTAAAAGAAATGTCTTTTACTCAGTAAAAGAATTACTCAGTAATAGAAATTAACCGAGATCAAATTAACAAAAAAAAAATCAACATTTCTTTTAAAAAGTATTATGCAACCAACACAATATATCGCTTTGATGTTAATAAAATCAGAGATATTAAGTATATTAAAGCAATATTTTAAAATAAAACGATAAAATATATATAATGTTTTAATATAAACTAATATAAAATAAAAGTGATGTTTTGAGTACATTAGAGCAACAAACATTAGTTAATGTATCAACACCGCTATGTATTATCCGGGTTTTGAAAAAAAATTCGGGTTTTTTGAAAACCGGTTACTTTTGCTTCTTTCAGGTCCAAAATTACTAGAGTGGCAAGCTTATTTTCTTCACTTATTAACTTATATTACTACATTTTATTATATTCATTTTAATTATTTAACTTTATAAATGATAGTGGTTTTAGTATAATGACAGAAAAACTCTTCTTATTCTTCAAGAACATTAAGTAATCTCAATGTTCTTAAAAAATAAAGTAGAAATGAATTTGTAAAAACTTTCTCGTATTTTCAAGTTTACGTATTAATTTTAAATTTAAAATTACATTCTACCAAGTTC